CAGGTCATGATCCCAGGGTCCTGGGATTGAGCCCCACATCAGGCTCTCCGCTCAGCAGGGAGCCTGCTTCCCCCCTCGCTCTCTCTGTGCTGCTCTGCCTACTTGTGATCTCTCTCTCTGTGTCAAAGAAATAAATAAAATCTTAAAAAAAAAAAAAAAAAAGAAGAAGCTCAGAACACCGAACGCTCATGGGCTCAGTCCCAGTGCCAGTTTCCCTTGATTTCAGGGTTACCAGAATCCACCCTCAATGATGCCACTCGTGTCCCAAGCATGAGGCCACTTGTGTCCCAAGCATGAGGCCACAACTGGTGCCAGATGGAGTGTGGATGGCTCTGAATGTCAGCCTCCCAAACCTGTATCCTCTTGATAGGGAAATGAACAGAAGTCATCTTTTGAACTGGCAGAATGTTCCAGAGACACAGGCTGCAAACCAGGGCCTCCAAGAAACAGGTGAGGCACATATACTCTTAACCTGACTCTGACCTGGCTCTACCAATACCCAGAGACCCCACCTGCAGTCAATGAACTCCTGGCATGAGTAAGGCCCAGCAGCCGTAGCAGCAAGTCAGAGACCAGCCCCCAGGAAACCACCGGGAATCCCAAGCCCTTCCAGTCCAGTGGCAAACGCTCAAGGCTTCACTCTTCCAACGCCAGACATGACTAACCAAACAAAGCATTCATGGATACAGCCTCAGAATCCTTCTTAATACAATGTTCCTGGGAAGAGCCCCCAGCAGACCAGAGTCGGGATGTGAAAACAGAGGTAGTTGTCATCCCTCCTGTCCGTTGTGCAGGTGTGCATATCATGCACCAGAACCTGGGATGGAAGCCTGAAGAAGCCAGAGCACATGGGCTTCTGGAGGCAAAGTAGGACACCATCTCCAAAAACAAACAAACAAAAAAAAACCCCAACATCATCTCTAGCAGGAAAGAACCACCACCTTGAGGAACTTGTCTCAAACCAGTTTTAAACCCAAGTCACAAAAGGCCAGGCACCTTCAACAAGAAGGTAGGTGAGAGGGACTCCTTCCCAGTAATACCATCTCCTGGCAGCTCCCAGAGACCTGCCTTGTGCCATGGCCCTCACCTGGATCTGCCCTTTGCCCATGATCTTGTCCACGATCTCGTTGTTGTCCTTGTTGACCTTGGTCTTGTCATAGCACTTTTCGTAACACAGGATCCTCAGGGACTGGGAGCCCTCCAGCTCAATCTCAAACTCCTGGGGAAAGACGGTATGATGACCCTGAATCTCCAAGGTTGACACACGCAGCTTCCTGGTGAGTGTGGACCCCGACTTGGCAAGGGTGAGAGGGGGTGCCCAGGGCCCAAGAGGAGCACGTCAGAAGGCATGCGGGAAACTTCCTCCCTTGCTACAGCTCCAGAAGGCTTTGAATTGCTGGCGTAGTAGAGTCTGGGCCTGAGCTGAAAACCCCACATCTAGCCATAAACACAGTATCAGACGCTAATTGAGCAGGAAGTGGAGGGCAGAGAGGTTAGGGAGACGGAAGTCACCCAGGCAGCAGGCTCCGCCATCCCCTGTCAACAGCGAGGGAGCACAGGGAGTGGGGTGGGCACGCTTGGTGACAAGCTCAGGGGTCCCTGCGGGGACGCCAGCCGCCTCCACTCACCTCATCCCACTTGGGCTCTGTCGTGTCCCGGAACACCCTGGTTTTGGCTTTGCTGACGAAATAGCCAAAGGAATCCACCTCCAGGGTACAGTACAGGTCTGCAGCAGGGATGGGTAGAGACATACCAAGTGAGGCCCAAGGCTCAGGACCTCGGGAGGGCAAGGCGGATAACGGCCTCTGTCCCCCCAACCTCCCTGCAGGACACCCTCTGTGTTCCCCTTTCCCCAGCCCTAGGGCTTCTGACTCCTTCCCACTTCTCTGCCCTCCAGCTACAGTGGCCTCCGCCCTCTGACTTGTCCCGCTGCTCCCACCTGAGGCCCTTACACCTGCAGTCCCTCCATCCCTGGTCCTTGCTCGGTTGCCTCGTCACCACTGAAGCCTCAGGCCAAAGTCTTCACTGGCTGGGCTGGCTTCCCTTCACCCACCAACCCCAGGTTCCTCAACAGGGCACCTGGTATTTGAGGCGGAAGTCTATGGAGGGTGTCTGACTTTTGGGTGCTGGAAATCTGGAGTAACCCCCACTCATGGCAACAATCAAAAATGCCCCCAAATCCTAGCTTGTTTTCTTCACAGCACTTGACTTTAAGTTCTCTTTTCTGCCTGTCTCCCCTCACTGTTTTAACCCCACACAGGCAGAAGCCCCCAGTGAGACCCAGCTGACAGGGACACGGCACTGGGGGGCCACCCCAGGCACTCTGCAAATCCACACCCTCCCTGTGGGGCTCATACCCTGACAACCGTCCCCGTCCACGGGAGTGACCACAGTTGCATCCCAGTGGAATGGCGCATGGGAAGGGCCTTGGGGCTATCCAAGCCAATCCTCTGCAGTGGGAATCGAGGGGCAGAGGTCAGAGGGTGGATATCCATGCCCCTCAAGGCCCCATTCAAGGCTTTCCTCAGAAGGGAGAGAGGATGGAGCTGCCCCCGAGTTGTCTCTGGCCGGGTAGGACGGGGATCAGACAGAGCTGGATATCAGGGCATGCTGCGAGGTGGGCACAGATTAACAGGCGAACAACACCAGAGGCCTTGAGCACCCTGGCCTCTGCCAGGTCAGAGAGCAGGTAGAGAGATGGAGGGCGAGAGTGCCGTCCCCATTTATTGACTTTCATGTGAGTGAGCACTGTCAGGGGTTAGGGGATAGTTCGTGAGCTAGAAGGAGGGCTTTGAGTCTGACTGTCTGGGTTCAAATCCCAGCTCTGCACAAATCACTGAACCTCTCTGCCTTAGTGCTTTCCTGTACAAAGCAGGACTAACAATGGTGCCTATACCCCAGGCCTGACTGTGCAGATGTAATGAACGTATTGGGACAGAGAGCCACAGCTGAAGATTCATGGGGCCTGAGCCCGCTGAGTCAGAGTGAACACAGGTGCGGCGCCGGAGGCTGGTGGAGGGAGGTGGGGAGGATGATCTGGAGGTCAGGAGAGATTTCTGTAGCAGCTCACCTCATGTCTAACCCCCGACCCAGTTTGGAGGGAGAAGACCTGCTCTGGGAGAGGAGGCCATGCCACCTCCCTGAGGCCCATCCCAGCCAAGAGAGAGCAAAGAGAGAGGGTAAGGCATCTGGGCATGCTGGGCCACAGACTCAGGTGTGTGGAACAACCTTCTATAACTTTACCAATTAGGACTATTCCTGGGCAGTGCCCCCTAGAAAGGGATTCCATGTGTCTGGAGAGGGTCCAGGAGGCTGCCTCGCATTGTAAGAGCAGCATGGCCTGAGTGGTGAGCTCTGTGGTCCTGGCCATAATGAGAAACACTGCTCTAAAGCAAAGGGTCTGGGCTTCGGTAAATGGGGTATTAGGGACCTCGGAGTGATGTCAAGGGCATCAGAGCAGAAATGCACTTGAAAATGCTCTGGAACAGGCCAAGGCATCACCTACACCCTGGCCACCTTTGAGCTTTCTCCAGCACTTAATAAGGTGCCCAGGCACCCAGCAGTAAGGGACCCCCATGAACATCACAGGAAATGCTTGTCAAATGGCTATCTGCATGGTGCTGGACAGGTGGACCCAGGGAAGACCTCGCCTTCCAGAGACAAAGAGGAGGGAGAGGGAAGGGGCAGGTGGGGAAGAGAGGAGTCAGGATCCCTGGGTTTCTGATCCTCTGTGAGGTTCAGACCCTTTATCTCTAACTCCGTTTTCTCATCTGGCAAATGGGAAGAAAAATTCCTATGGGGGGGAAACTAGATAAGTGTAACCGTATCTTGCCAAACGCTAAAAACTGCAAGGATGTGGGCAATGGTGATAAAGAAGGCAGGAAAAGGGATGCATGTGGCAGGGTGCTGGCACAGCAGGGCACTCAGGCATCTCTAGGAGAAAGAAGCTGAGGCTCCGAGAGGTTAAGAGATTTGCCCGAGATCCCACAGCTTGACAGGGGCAGATGTGGGGTTAGGGTCCAGGATTTCAGACACCCAGGAGCTGGGGAGGGCTTAGGGAAGAGCAGACCTTGGAGACACAAGACAGGAACGACCCTCCTGCCAAGAGGAGCTGGTTCCTGACTGTTGGGGAAATGCCCACCCACATGTCAGGGCCCCACCTGGGGAGAGCAAGGCAGACTTGATGAGCCATGGGAGGCCCCTTCAATGGATCCACAGGGACTTCCTGTGAAAGGATGAACCATGGCCTCTGCTCTTCCTAGGGCTAGGGGTCAGGGGCACTTACTGGCTGACTGCTTGAACCCTTTGGCAGAGTGGACGATGACATGGAGGAAGCCATAAAGTCCGGGAGACTCATCGTCTGTAAGAGAGGAACCACCTGGGTAGGGTTGGCGAGAGGCCGGCTTCAGCCCCCCTTCTCACCCCAGACTCCCGGGAAGGCCAAAAGGGTGTGAGATACCATCTGAGCCCTGGTCTCGCAGCACCACCTGGTGGCTGGAGGAAGAAGTTTCCAGAGCCCACTGCTTCCTGGAATTTGAACTGGTACCCCTTCTCCCTCCACTCAGCCTGGAAGGCCAATCCCCATCTTCCCTGCTGGGCCAGGGGCACTTTTCCTCCCCCTCTGAAAACTGCTTATCTCCTCCCTGGCTGTCCTCCTCAGTGTAGCCTTTCAAAGTGAAAATTAACCAATATACGTCTGCCCCCTTTTGGGATAGGAGGCAGATTAAACCCATATGGGTAGGAGAGCCTGCCTTCAAAACCCCTCCCCAGCATCCACGGGGCAGCCAGATTCTACCCATTCTGGACCAGCCCTGATCATGGCTCTCTCTCGCTCAAAAAAACCTCCCATTGGTCCCTCGGCTTGAACAAACTCCTTTGCTTGGCATTCCAAGATCTGCCCCTGGAAACTTCTGGCCTTATTTGTCATATGCTAATCCACCTACCCTTTTCCCATCCACCACCGCCAGGCCCCATGCTTCGGTCTTTCGCTTCCATCATCTGACTACCTCAGGAACATATAACAACACGATTCCAGTGCACAAGGGTGCCAGATCCTTCTCTCAAGCCAGAGGGGGCCGGGGAGCAGTTGGGACCATCTGGAAACTCAGCAGAGAACAACCCCTGTTTGAGCTCTCTGTGTGCCTGGAAACTGGGTTGTTACAACCACATGTCTGGCTAGGTCCTTATGAAAGGTTCCAGCAATGCCCTGGGAGCTTGGACCTGCTGATCAGACAGCCTTGGGTTCTCGATCTTACCGTCTTTATTGCTGGTGACGGGAATGTTGTGTACAGTCCTAAGTTTGAAACAGGATCCCGTAAGCACCTGGAGCTCCACGGAGCTCAGGACAAAGGCCTGGAGATCTGCAGGAGGAGCCGAGAAAGGACAACGTCGTCAGATCCACCAGGACCCGCTGCTCTTCTCTGGGGGCTACTGCAGGAAAACAGCTTAGCTCCAGGGGCAGAGCTGGTCCCCAGAAGGGAGGGTAAGATTTGTAGGGACATAGGGACAGTCACAGGTGGCTCACAACTACGTGTGTGCAACAGCAAGAGCAAGAGAGAGAGAGACAGACAAGCCTGGGCTCTGGGCCCAGTCCTATTGCTAATTTATTCTGTGCCGTTAAGCAAATCACTTCAATTCTTTGGGCCTCAGTAAGTGCCACCCACTCTGGCCCCTTGCAGACAGCCCCAGAGGAGACTGCGGATATGAAAGTTTGTGAAAACACAAAAGGCCACCCTTGCCATGGACACCCTCAGAGCAGCCTAGAGGAGGAACGCAACTTTACCCTTCTTCTGTAGCTTCTGAATGGCTTCTCTCCACTCTGACCTCTCGTAGTCTGAGGACAGTAGGAACAGGTAGCTCTGAAGAGAGGAGAAGAAAATTCAGTGGGGTGACCATGTGGCCAAGCGCATTTCTGGCTCCCTCCTGCCCATGCACCCTGAGGCTTGGTGAAGGTGGGAGCTGGGAAGCGAGCCTCCTTTCCCAGAAGCCCAGCCACAGGAGTGGCAGTGCCGGTGATGGCCAGCAGGGGGCACTGGCTCCACACCAGCCGGCGGAGGCAGAACGGGGTAGGAGCTGGGGCAGCATCCTTGCCAACTAGGCTTGAGTCCCGGAGTCCCACAAGTCATGGGCAGGAACCCTAGAGAACCAGCAGCCCCGGGAACAAGAAAAGGGACCACCTCTGTCCTGTCCCCACCCCTTTCTGACCTTTCCATTACGATTGTGGATCCGAAACGGGATCGTTGGGGAGTTAAGCAGCAGCAGGAACTCATTCTCAAACATCTTCTTCTTCAGGCGCTCGATGGCCCGGCTCTGTCCTTTGTTGGCTTTCTGTGGGGGCCGGAGGGCACAGATGGTTTCCCTCACACACGCCCCTCCTCCCTCGGCAGCTCTAAGCAAAGCATTTCCTTGTGCATTCATTATGTCTTTTAATATTTTTTTTTTTTTTGTATTTTATGATGCTCTGACATCTTAGGGGAGCCCAGCTGTCCAGGGAGAAAGCTACCTTCCCAGGGCAAGCTGACCCTTAAGCTGATAAACATGCACATACCTTCCATATACAAACCAACCAGTCCTGAGTTCCTGCCCCCATTCACCAAGCCAATATTCCCCTACCCATCTTCTCTCGGTGCCATCAGCCTAATAGTGTCATCACTCAGTCACTTCTATAAATCAGATCCTGGGTACCCCGCTTCAAAACCTCAGACACCGTTCAGCAGAAGGCCCTAACAGCTGGCCTGGCACAAGGGGCCTCCCAAGGCTGGGGCTGTCCTCTGTGTCTAGCCGAGGCTCCTACCACGCCTCACCCTGACCCCTCCACCTCAGCCACACCACACCATGCCTTGCTCTGGAATAAGCCCTTAAGTCTCAGCCCATGTCGCCTTCCCCAGTTTTTCAGGCTTATATGTTGTGAAGGATCCCTTCCCTTTTAGTAACTGTTAATACCCTTCAAGTTTCAGTTCCAACGCCAGCTTCAAGCTCCTCGGTTAGAATTCATCTCTGCTGCTTTTTTTTTTTTTTACCCACCAGACTCGCAAAACGGTAACAAGTGCTCACAGCCCTTTGTTGTGACAGGGTGGGGGAAGAGTAACTCTCTCATTGCTGGGGGTGTGGGGTGGGGAATATAATTGGAGGCAACCTTTCCAGAGGTAAATCTGGCAACTAGAGCAAGCCCTCAGCCCCAGCCATCCCACTTTTGCAGAGAAGGTACCAGAGAGAAATAGGAGCGCAGTCAGGTTTACCAGTCTTGCCTGTTAAGAGGAAAGAACCAGAAGCAATCTAAATATCTCCTACATCATTGCGCAGCCAAGCGATAGAATAGGCTACAGCTGTTATAAAGAATCTGACAGATCTGGAGAGCTCTACAGAGCACCATTCAGGGAAAAGCTTAAGTGGCAAAAAGGGCACATAGAGTCTCGTCTCATTAAAAAAAAAAAAAAGACAAACCGGTATAAGCATAGAAGAGTCTAGAAGAATACACCTCAAACTGTTAACAGTGGGAGGTGGGTGATAATCTGTTACAGCCTGTAGGCTTCAGTATTCTATTTCTTGTGATAACAAGCCAGCGTTAGGTTGGTGATGAGAACAAAAATAAGTTTTAAGAAAGTATTATTGAAAGAATCAATCACTGCTTCTTCTGTGACTCAGAGAACAACAATGCACCTCCCTGGTGACTCTCCTCACATTATGTCACATGCTGAGGTCAGTCACCGGCAAGACATGGACTCCGTGAGGTGTCTGGCACACCCCTGCAGCGAGCAACTAGTGGAGCTCAGGAAGTGTGGGTCTGACTGAGCAGAAGAGGCCATGTCTGCGCACTGGGGCGGGAGGGAGGGGACAAAGTCCACCAGCAAAGGGACGGGAGAAACAGACAGGGAGGATGCCCTGGGGTGGGGCTGGGGGGCAGTGCCAGGTGGGGGAGACAGGCTCCACTGAGGCAGTGCGGGGAGGAGAGGGAGGTCAAGGCCAGTCAGGAAGAGGACACCTGTGCCCCTCTCTGGGCTGATGTGCCCCCAGGGAGACCCTCAGTCCTTGGTCAACCCAAACCCCAGACATCCCTGGGGTCATTACTGTGGTCTTCCTCTCCTTCAAAGAGGGATGTCTAAGCTGAAAGGCTTATTTTATTTTATTTTATTTTTTTAAGATTTTATTTAATTATTTGACAGAGAGAGAGATCACAAGTAGACAGAGAGGCAGGCAGAGAGGGGGAAGCAGGCTCCCCACTGAGAGCCCGATATGGGGCCTGATCCCAGGACCCTGAGACCATGACCTGAGCCAAAGGCAGAGGCCTAACCCAACTGAGCCACCCAGGCGCCCCTAAGCTGAAAGCCTTCTTAGAAGCCATCTAGGCACAGATTCCTCAACAACTGTTTATAAAGCACCTACTATGTGCTGAGTCCTAGAGACATAGAACTGGAGAAAACAGCACTATTGCCAGAGTTCAAATTCATATGGGGAAAAGAGAAGGTAGCCTGTGCAATTACAATTCAGGACCAATAATGCAAAATAAAGAGGCAGACCCCAGGACCTTTCCAGACACAGTGGGTACACAGCAGGGAAAGCTTCCGGCAAGATGCAGCCTACGCTGAGCTGACAGGTGGCAAAGGGAAAACAGGCCAACAAACCAAGCCTCTCCCCGCCCTTTATGACATGCATGGGAAAGCCTCCTCCTGAGGGAAAGGGGACTTTCCTCTAGCCACTGTTTTCAAATATGTGAATTTAAGGCTACACATTTTCCTCTAAAGAGTGCTTTGGCCACACCTATGGGTTTTGATACATGTACTCTCATTTTCATGCAGTTCTAAATAGTCTGCAGTTTCCATTAGGATTTCCTCTTTACCTTGCAAGTTTTAATTTTCTAGGCATATACTTTAAGTAGATTCTAGTTGTTCATTTCTGATTTCATTACAGTGTGGCCTGTGAATATAACCAGCATGCTATCAAATTTTTTAGGGCCACCTGGCTGGCTCAGTCAGTAAAGCATATGACTCTTGATCTCAGGGTTGTGAGTTTAAGCCCCGTGTTTGGTAGAGCTTACTTAAAAAAAAAAAAATTGCCAAAAACGTGTTTTTTAAATTTCCAATTTCCTTTGTGGTCTTAATACATGACAGATGTGTACAAATGTTGGGTATGGGCACAGGCTTCTGTGCATTTTCAGATCAAGCAGGAATATGTTAACTGTGTTATTCAAAGCCCCTCTCCCCTTACTTATTTGCCTACTTGATCTGTCAGTTTCTGAGAGGCTCCTCAAGCTCCTTCTTTTTTTTTTTTTTTTAAGATTTTATTTATTTATTTGACAGAGATAGATCACAAGTAGGCAGAGAGGCAGGCAGAGAGAGAGAGAGAGAGGGAAGCAGGCTCCCCGCTGAGCAGAGAGCCCGACTCGGGACTCGATCCCAGGACCCTGAGATCATGACCTGAGCCGAAGGCAGCGGCTTAACCCACTGAGCCACCCAGGTGCCCCTCAAGCTCCTTTTCTTACAACCATCCTTCTTTTCCTCAGGAAGGCCTTCTTCTCTTGCTTTTCTTTTCTATGGTACTTGACATACAGTAGGAAGCTCCCCATCACTAGCCCCACTAAATTCTGAGCACTGACTTTTTGGCCCTCCTTCCATCTGCTCTGTGCTAATGTGCCACCACCACAGTCTTTCCCTGAGCTGGTGCTGCATTCCATCTCCCTTATCAGACTCTCAAGCCTTACAACCTCCCCTCCTTCTGCCACCCTGCCACACCCAGTCCAAAGGGCCTGGAGGAAAAGGGCCTCCCCTCCCCACTCTCTCAGCTCAGATACCAGGCCCTGCTCACCTCCTTCTGGATTTCACTCTTGAGGGCAGAGATCTTCATTTTCATGTCCTCCAGCTCGTGGTCTGGGAAGGGATGCACCTGGGGGCTGGCCTCAGACTCTTCGGGGGATGGAAACACTAGGTCGGCCAGGGGGATGTACCATTTGCAGTCATATTGCTGGTGCTTCCTGCAAACAAGCCGGAGAGAGATGTGAGCAAGCGGGAACTTGGCTCTTCAAGCCTTAACTGCTAGGAACAGAAAAACACCCGAGAGGGATTTGCTAAGAACCTGTCTCAGTCAAGAATGATCCGTGTCCTTGAGGAGTCTGTTCAGGAAACCCCCATGCGGAGAAATGACAGTCAGGGGCTCTGGTCAGGCAGCAGCGAGGGCTCTGGACCTTGGCCTTGTCAATCTTCAGGCCCGATCGGACTGATGTTTTTAAACATCCCAAACCTCTAATGCTTTCCTAATCCCCATCCCACGCTCTTCCCTCCCCCTGGCCTATCTATACTTAGCTCATAGTCATTGCCCTTTGGGCTGGAGATGGAATACACATTATTTTTAATGCCATCCCTGATCGATAGAGGTCACATGGGAGTAGTGGGTGGAAGATTATAAAGCCACATCCGTGTCCAATGGGAAGTAGTGTCGTGGTTCATTAGTAATGTGTGTCACGGGCAAAGGACTAAAGGCACAGGTGTGTTTGCTCATTACGACTGCCACCTGTGCTCTAGAATGATCTCATCTAGTTCCAGGAAGTCACCCTCTTTACTGAAGCACATACTAAACACTCCTTCCCTCACCTCCCCCAGGACGTGGGTTTGCCCCCTCACTCTGGGGCCCTAGCGCTGAGGTGAGCTTAAGGCTTGTCCCCCTGGACTGGGAGGCAGTGTCTAAGACATGTGGGTGGAAAGCAGCTCTCAGATCTGACTTAGGCTCAGATCCCATCTTCTCTACCTCTAGTGTGCAACCTTGGGCAACGGATATAACTTAGTTCTAAGTCTTTTCTCTCCTCTGTGAGAGTTCTGGGGAAGACTGGAAATAATAGAGTCAAAGCATTTGTCATGGCACCTGGGATGGCATAAGCACTCAGTAATGACAGCAGACGTAATGAATATTCACAGGATCATAGTTAGCAAAAATGTAGAGATGTCTAATAAAAGGAGAGTGCTTAAGTAAATTATGGCATATCCACTTGTAACATCACGCAGGCAAGTAAAAGGGTGATTATGAAGATTAGGCAGAGACTGGGAAAATGCTTATGACGTGAAATGGAAAAAGCAGAGACCAAAATTGGGCATTCATTCTGATTACAAGTACATGAAAAAACACAAGAACGTTTAAAAAAACTGGAAGGAAATATAGCAGCAGGAGACCGATGCTTATGTTCGGGTGGGTGATGGGTTTTTCCCCTGTAATTTGGTTATATTATCTTTATAATTAAAAACACAATTTATTTTTAGAAAAAGAATATGTAGTAAAATAAAATTAATTAATCGATTTTTTTAAAGGAGAAAATAAATCCCGGGGCTGGGAGGGCTCCTCAGGGGGCAGAGTCTAGCTCCTTCCCACCCCGCCCCCTGGACTCACCCTGCGGATGTCTTCTTGAGCTTGGCACACAGTAGGACATCTGTAAAGAGGAAGACGTGCCGCAGCTTCCGGGAGCTCTCTGACACTTCCACCAGGAAGCCGTCCTTCACCAGCTGCCGCGTCTGAGGGAGATGGCACACCCACCCCCACCTGCTCAGGGGGCGGTCAGCCCAGGGCCCAGCCAGCACTGGGGGAGGGGCCATGGGGAGGGGACCCGGCACCTGGTGTTTAAGGTCACACAGACCTGGGCCTTCTGGTTTAACACTGGGCAAGTTCCCTGAGTCTCAGTCTTACCATCTGTAAAATGGGGATAATGATGGTTGCTCCGTACCGTTGAATTCATCAAGGTGTCTATGTTAAAGGGCCCAACGGCGGGCACATAATATGTGATCAATAAATGGTGGATTTTTTTTTTTTTTAGAAAATGGTAGATTTATGGGTGCCTGGGTGGCTCAGTCTGTTAGGCGTCTGCCTTCGACTCAGGTCATGATCCCAGGGTCCTGGGATTGAGCCCCACATTGGGCTCCCGGCTCAGCAGGGAGCTTGCTTCTTCCTCTCCCCACTGCTCATGCTTTCTCTCTCTCCCCAACAAATAAATAAAGAAAATCTTTTTTTTTTTTTTTTTTAAATGGCAGCTTTACACTTTCCTGCAGCAGTCATCAGCTCTCACCTGGATATACCCTAGTCCAGGATGACCTGGCTCCTCCACAGTGGGGCATGAACACCCCCACCCCCGCCAGTACTGGGGCATCTCCCCCTCCCCCAATCCTGCCTAAGAATTTGATCTTGTTTCAGTTCAACCTTGACCCACAGGCCTTCTCAGTCTGTTTCGGCTGCCTCTGAGTGGATTCTACAGCTACCCTCAGGTGGATGGGAGACCCAGGCTACCTTTGGTGGGGCTGGAGCACTCCTGGAGGACCCTGCAGGCATCTCTAATCTGGGCTCTGGATGGGTAAGAGCCCAGTTTCTGCACTGACACCCGCACAGCCCATGGGCTTCTCAGGGGCTGTTGCAATCCATGCCAACCCTTCCCATGTGTCTTATAGACCCTGTGACCTACGTATGCTGTAATATGTAGGTGAGCACGGTCAAGTCTCCAGTGAACACGATCTGAAACTGACAGTGCTCTAAACCCTTCAGAGATCTTTCAGATAACCTCGAGTCAGACAAACCAATGACACTCCAGGGCTTGCCAACCAGGGCTGGGAGTCGCACATGGGGACAGCTCTCTGTGCCCCATCAGTCATGCTCCACACCCCATCCCTATTACTTCTCTCCCCAGGAGACACTGGAGTCTCATACATGTAATAAAGGAGCATAAACCCAGCCCGTCTTCACTTCTAAAGGCCCTGAATGACCTCTCCTGGACAGGAAGCCCTGCATAAGGCCAGGCTGCTGACCCATGTGAGTAATTGTCCCAGCAATTCTTCAAATCCCTTTCCCCTCTCGGGGGTACCCCTGCCCTTCCACCAACAAGGGCCCCCAAGGAACTGGAGCTGCTGTATCACATCTGCACATGGGATGTTCCAGCAACCTGGCAGCCTTAGCTCCCCCCGTTCCTGCCTTTCTTACTGCTGGGCTCACTGCCGAGCTCCTGCCCCACCTGCTCATGCAGGCTGAGAATCCACAGCTCAGAGCTCCTGCTCTCAGATTCCCCGGCTCCCTCAGTCTGAGCCATTATCTTCCAGGGACCCTGAGGGCCTCATACTGCCCAAAGTGGGGGGTTTCCATTCAATAATGCCATAGCCACAGCCCCTGGACTGGGGGACAGTGCATGAGGCTTGCAGACAGATAACCCCGGCTAGAGAATCTGGCTCCAATAAGTATGGCCAAGAGACCTTGTACCAGATCTGCAGAGACTCTCTAGGCCTCAGTGAATTATATGACGATCAATGGGACATTTAACATAAAGCTCCCAGGACCTGAAGACCTTTTCTTGGCTGGGCATGGGACAAGAAGGTTGGAGAGGCGCCAAAGACAGGGCAGGACAGCAGGGATGGGTGATGTGGCTTGCTGTGCCCTTCTTAGCCTGGGCGAGAGGCGGGGCTGGGTCCTGGGCTCACCTCCCCCTTAGGAGTGGTGACCGCAGTCCGGCGGGGGTCAATGTCCTCATTGATGCTGGACAGGAAGTTCTGGGAGATGCGGAGGGCATCCTGGAGCAGCGGGTAGTCTGGATGGTCCACAGGCGTGTGCTTCAGCAGGTCCTGGGAAGAGGCGGGGTGGTGAGTTGGAGGCAGCCGTTCTGGGGCTCAGTGAGAAGACAGTGGGGACTCAATCTTCACCAGAGGAATTCCAAGGCAGGGCCCTAAGGGACCCACGCTCTGATCTGGTCATGCCTGTGAAATCTGAACTCAAAATGAGGGGCCGAGAGGCGGGGTGAGGGCAGTGGTACCCCTTTATTACTATCAAGTCATTACTCCTCCCCCTGGTGGAAGAAGCGGCGGGGGGGTCTTATCTCCCCAAGCAGCTGGGAGAGACACCCCTCTACGCATCCCCACAGCTGCTCCAAGCACCCTGGAGACCATGAGGCGAGGGTGGGGAGGCAGGAAGCGCCTTCCCCCAGGGCAGCATGAGCCAAACCTCGAGCTTTGTGGCCAAGCTATATGGAGGCCCTGGGGTCCCCCTGGCATGGTTACCAAGACCTGGGAGGGGCGGTCAGAGCTCAGGGCCCAGGGCCCCTCTGCCCAGCTCCCTGAGGGGGCAGTTCTCATGGACTCCAGTGCCCGCCCCACCCCGGGCTCCGTCTCCTAGTGAACTCCTAATCCCGCTCTGCAGGCCACTCAGGGGCTGACACTTACATGGAGGACCAGGGTGCTCCTGGTGACACGGTCAATGGGCTTGTAGAGCAGAGCTGTTGGCCAGGGCAGGGAGAAGGACACAGAACAGATGAGACACAGGGAGCAGCCTAACCTCAGAGATGATCCTTATCCCTCCACCCGCCTCACAGCCCGACCACCGGGATGCCCAGGTGCAGGCAGCCCCAGCTCTGTTCTTCCGCAGGGTGGGTCGGACGGCACCCACATGCAGCCATGCAGCGCTGGCAGCCCAGGTCCCACCCCACCCCCGCCCGTCTCATCGCATCTCCTGCCAGACATGACTTCTCGAAGGGCCATCCCAAAGGCCTCTCCTTGTCTGACCAGACTTAGAGAGGGCAAAGATGCTCCTCTGTACCCTCAACCTCATCTCATACAGCCACAGCTAGCCTCACCCCACGGCGCTCCGGCTCCCCAGCGCGCAGCAAGGAGGCTCCTGCACACCCAATCATCCTTGTACTCTCTGGCCCGAGGCCTGGCGTCACCAGCTGGGAACCGCCGGCTTCGTTCTGACTCACACGGGCTGCCTCATCTCCACGAGGAGACCCCCCTCCATGCCGTCAAACTCCCCGACAAAACAGGACAGGCTGAGGGCCAGGGAGGCAGGCCAGCTCTTCACACAAAGCCTCTGCTCTCAAGCAAGTGGCAGCCAGGGGAGCAAAGAGTTCCCAGAGGAATTCAGGTGGGGCCTCCGGGAGCGCTGACGCGGCTGGGAAAATGCAGACCCAGGAGCAGTGTGGGGAGAGGGCGTCTATTCCCCATACCCCCTGGCCGACCAGGCCAGCAAGTGAAGATGGCTGGGAGCCAGCAGGGACAGGTGGAGGCAGCAGCTGGCTGACCACACTTGCAAACCGAGCTTTCTGCAAGCAGCTGTGCCCTGCCGCTCCCAAAGAGAGGTGGCTCGGCCTCAGTCCCACACCTGGATGCCTCTGTCCGTGGGGTCATGACCTCTGTCCTCCTGCTGCAGGGGCAGGAAGACGCAGGATGCTGGCTGTGACAGTCCCAGAGCTGACACGCGGGGCCTAACCAAAGAATCCCCAAGCCAAAGAGTCCCCGGAAGCCCTAGACATAAACAGCCCATGCATTGCTTAGCGGACACTTTGGGGAATGATCTGCTGGCTGTGGAGAAGATAGAGTCTCAGTGGTATGCCTTGAGCCACATCTGCGGCTCTGCTTGGCTGCCCTTTAGAATCACTGGGCGAGCTCTTAAAAGAAACAGCTGCCTGTCTCCCTCTCCCCTTCTCGTCGATGAAACCCCAATCTCTGCTGGGTGGAACCTGGGAATCAGCATTTTTAAAAAAGCCCCTTTGCAGACTGATAGGTAGCCATGGTTGAAAACTATTGCCTTATGCCAACACACACCCCATGACTTATCTGTAGCCCCTTCCTGGCAATTGCGAGATCCTCCCCACAGTCTATGGGAGCTAAAATGAACAGGACCAGGCTTGGGGTATCCTGGGTCAGTGAGGGTAGAGCCCAGGTACCAGCCGAGGGCTGGGGGGGCAGTGTACTGACATTATTTAAGTACCCACCTGTGGCTTAGCTCTTCTTCAGGGGGAAATCACACCAGAGAACCCCAAAGACCCAGGAGAAAGTGCAAGTTTAGCAGACACCTGCCAGGGTGGGCCCCAGAGTTCCAGCTTGGGGAAGGCTGATACCACAATGTCAGCTCTCTCTGTCCCTCTCTCAAGTCCCAGGAGGAAGAGGTTTCTGACTAAGCTCAGAGGTCTGCACAAATGGTGGGTCAGGTTTCAGAGGGGTTATTAATATGCCTGCAGTCACCTCGAGTCTACCTGACTGGGGATGTGGAATGAGTGCCCTGGTTGGGAGAAAACAACTAGGAGGAAAGGTGGGAAGAGGAGACGGTAGGGAGAGGGCCCTGGGGCCACAGGCAGATATGGAGGGAAGAAGGGGAGGAAGAACAACCCCAATGTTCTGTCTGAGCTCCCTTCGGCCGCTGGGCACCGCCTTCCCCTGACAATGCAGGATAAAGAGCCCACCCTTTCCCCTTCATCTCTTCCACAGCTCTGGCACGCCGGGCTGCTTCCTGCCGTTGCTTCCCCTTCCCTCCCTTCTTCTCACTATGCCAATCCTGTCCCAGAGATAGACACCATTCACCAAGCTGCAACGCGTCTCCCCCCACCTCCTCCAGGAAGCCCTCCCTGACCAGTGCTTTTGCAAACAACACCCACAGTGCCTAAAAGACCACTGACGTGAGCAAGCTGGCCTCTCTGCAGCTTGCTGGGTACTTATTCTGTGTTCAGTGGTGCTATCTTATATGCACTATTTCCTCTGATTAAAAAGAGAAGCAATTATCACTAGCCCCATTTTACAGATGAGGAAGCCTCTCGAAGGCACAGAGAAGTTACGTAACTTGCTCCCAATAACAAAGCTGCAAATGGTGGCTGGGTTTTGAATGTAGGTCTACCCATGCTCCTAACTTCAAGCATGGGAGATTAGCATCTGCAAAAGCTCAGCGACCTTTGGGAGGATCCTGGGAAAGATTCACCAGGAAGGAGTAGGTAAGCTGGTCTCTTTTGTCACCAAGGTGAGCCCCCTCCTTGGTGGGGGCCTGGATCACACATGACTTCCTTTTGCATCCCATCCTCAGCATCTGGCTCAGAGACCTGCAGAGTGGGTACTCAGCAAAGAACCATTAAGCCAGAGTGAGCCCCAAGGGCAGAATCCCCCCCGGGGCTCCCCAGTAGCAGCATCCCTTCTCAGCATCAAGGGGCTGAGAAGATTCTAAACATTGTGGTTGGTAAGGGCTTATTCTCTCCTCCCACCCCACTGTGAAACTGACTTCAAAGACAGTATCTCAGGGACCAGAGAAACCCTGAACTCCAGTCCCAGGTCTGTTTCACTACGACTAAACCTCATTTTGGGAAGGGAAGAGGAAGCCAAGGGCCAACCCCATGTCTTTTTTAAAGAGGCAGAGTTGAGGCCTGACCCAATCCCAGCCCAGACCAAAAAGAGCATTTCTCCTCTGATTTTTGAACAGGCCAATTTCAAGTCCATCTCTCCTCTTGACCTTGGCCTGTCAGAATTTGAGCTGACGGGTGGGGGCACAGGGTACCGGCACAGGGCAGCTTCTGGCCAGTAACTAGAGTTCCCACAGCTGTCCTGCTAGGGCACCTGGAGAGGGGCTGCCTCAGGGGTTCCTCCATCAAGAGTGATCCTCGACACGGGACAGCCTGCGCAGGTGAGCAGACAACAGCCCCTCCAGGGCCGTGGCCTCTGAGAAAGAGCCCGGGAAACCTCATCATTTCTCCTCCAGCAAACTGCCACCCCCCTCCGTTCAGCCTTTGCCAAGGAGCTCCAGGTTACCACGGAGATGTGAAGGCAAAGTGACTGAGAGGGTGCAGACAAAACGGCTGGTGGGAGGGAAGGTGGTCCTAAAACCAACCGCTTGCCACTCCAAAACACTGGGGGTGGGGGCCGCGGGGGGGGGCGGGGCAGGGCAGAGGGCCACTGGAGGCAACTGTTGACCCTCCGTTCCTGCCAAAGGCACTTCTGGCCTCAGAGGGCAGTGTCCGCTTCCAGACCCCTCCTTGCCTAGGTCTGCTTCCACCCCCGCTGAGTAAGAGCCTGGACTGTCGCAGGACCCCCCTGCTGAGGGACCCCCAGGGTCCCTTTCACGGACAGGTGGGTGTGTGACCTTCACAAAGCAGTGGCCTGCCACGCCCCCCTCTCCCACCAACATGCACCAAGTGCTGGCACCTTAGCTTGGGGGCCTCCCGTGGCTACAAACAAGCCCCGGGGAGCAGCCCAGGTCCCTCCTGCTCTCCCAACTGCGGCCACGTTCTCCCACTGCCACCACGGTTCCCGAGCAGAGAAGGTCTCGAAGGCAGCCCGTGCACTCGGGAGCACACACAATACCCCGGCGGCTCAAGCTCCTCTCCTATCTCCAGGAACAAAGAAAACTCCCAACTTGTCTCTCAGGCAGGGGCTGGCGCCCTCCCGGGCCCAGGCAACGCTGCCCAGACCAGATGCCATGGTCCGACTGGCCCCTGCTGACCCCCCTCCAGCCTCAGGGCTGCCACACCTGCAGACACAGCCTTGTCACTCTCTCTCTTTAACAGCATCATCAGGAAGTTGCCCATTGCCTCCTGGGCCATTTCCCCAACACCGATCCCCACGGAGCCTGGGGTGGGGTGTGCCTGGACACTCCTAGCCTGGTCCTTCCATTTCCAAGCCACCCTGCCCCCGGTTGCCCCAGACTTCAGCTCCAGCCTGCAAGCTGGCCAGAACGGGGCAAACACAGAGCCAGCCACTTGTACCCGCCTCCCTTCTCTGCTGCCCTCCCCGCCCTCCCTACCACCCCCCCCACCTTGCCGGCCACATGTCAACCCACTCCAGCCAGCCCCCAGAGGTGGGAAGCTACACCACCTCCCCTGGGGGTGGGGGGGCGCCTGGGTTACCATAGGTGCAGTTACAGCAGAAGCGAATGATGAGGAGGATTTCCATGGCAGCCTCCGTCCCAGCGGCAGGAGCTTGCGGCCATCGCTCGGTGGCTCCCATCAGCAGCCTGGCCACTCAGCCACCTTGCCGGCTGCTGCTGCACAGCCTGAATCAAGCAGCCGCTTCAGAGTGCTCCTCTAGCAAGGGGGAGGGGCGGGGACGGGAGGGGAGGGGAGGCGCGCGTGGAGAGGCAGGAGGGGGGAGGGGAGGAGGGGAGCGAGCTGCCTGCTGGCATCCTAAGGAGGAGCACGTTTGTAGCTGGACGGCTGCCTAGGGACAGAGGCTGGATTCCTCGCATTTGTGCATACCACACAC